CTTGTCTTCAAATACTATTAAATTATTAGTATTAGTGCTTCAAGAAAGGTGTCCTTTCTGAGTTTGTTTAGTAGTGGCATGTGTTGTTATATTTCTCTGCATTTTTGTCGCTAATCTCTCTTCTAGCCAATAGTGCTTCTTTGTGAAATGTCTAACCTAGATGATGCGTAGATTTTGTATCTATGCCATCAAGAATAGGAGTAGCATTATGTAGTAGTGAAGACAGCAAGCACAAAACCCTAGTTTTATCACTTACTAGTAATGTGGGGTTAGGCAAGAATGTTGACTGCTCTGTGCCTCAGTTTACTCATCTATAAATTGAGGTTAATTTTAATAGTATCAACCCTACATATTGTTGTGAGGATTAACCTGTGATATAGATAGCTTAGTCGTTTGGTCAAGTACCTGCAGCCCCAAGATCGGAGATCACGTCCAATTCCACATTAATGAACCATAATGATTTAAAGTTTTCTTATAGGATCCAGCTAAAATAGAAAGGAAACTTGGGTTAGAAAAAGTAACTGTGTGTTTGTGTTCTCTGACACACATGGACCAAATTCTTTTTAGTGTTTAGAGCAATGGACATTTTCTGATCAGTGCATCTGTTTATCCTGTCTACGAGATACTGGTAACATTTACGAGATACTGGTAACATTTACGTAGCAAAATACGCCATTCTTGTTTATAACGTTCAGGACATCTTACTACCTATTTCCAACCTAGGGTAGTTTTGTTTTATTTATCTTCCCACATTCCAGCTAGAAATTGTACTAGCTGTCAGTCTAAGTGTGGATTATGTCGGAATTAAGATTGGAATGGCGGGGAGGAAGTCTGCGGAGAAGAGATGGGCTTTCCACCTGTATGTGAAATTTGATTAAGCTTCAGAGCTTAAATGTGTAAAGGCCTTGATGACCACCCTGGGATATGTGTGTAACGACTTAAATTTCTGAAACACCCAAAGCTCTGGCTATCCTAGCATCTTACGGGCCCTTAAAAGAAGATTTTATAATTTCCTCAGAAAAAAAAAAAAAAAAATGACTTGCTATACATAAAGCATTTAGAACTATGCTTGATACTGTACGTATTCCATCATTATTATTCTGCAAATATGTAAAATCAATAAATTAGAAAAGGGATAGGATTTAATTCTTGTCATTTTTAATGATTTGCTTTTTAACCAACTGGGCTCAGAGTAGGTACATTTACCAACTGGGCTCAGACTAGGTACATTTACCAACATTCCCCTTTGCCATAGTGATCTCATTCATTGGAATGGAGACGTCTCCTTCATTGGAGTTTTTCCATATATTTATAATCAGGTATGGAAGAAGGCAGTAGGACTTCTTCATATTTGGGATCATTTGTTCCCAGTCACATAAATCTTGTTTTGAGAATACAGTTGATACCTCAATATTTATTTTTTCATCTTCCTGATTGCCTTAGATATGCTGAAAAATTAGTTTATTAACTTAGAAGTTTCATAATTACTCTCTTTGCCACATGTCTATCAGAATTTTAAAAAGGAACTAACTTTCATGTCTTCTGTGAACATCGGTAGGAACTTTGTTGAAACACAGGAAGCCAAGAAATGTCCAGAAACATACCTTTTCAGTTTCCGTGTGGCATTCTTGGAATCACTGTATTTTAATATTAATGTAGCCATTTTAGTTATGCAAGTGAACAATCTTCATTTTTGCAAGAGAGTGAATTGAACAAAATAGAAATTGAATTAGCTTAACAGTAAGTTGTATGTGTGTATACATATTTATATATGTATAATTATGTTCAACTCACTTCAATATCAGAATTCTATGTAACTATTAATAAGCAATTTATCTAATGAGAGATATATATGTGTGTCTCCAATGTGTTTGGCGTCGTGTAAGGATTTTATAATGGTTAACTCATTTAATCTTTAAAGTAAGTTTGACCCTGTATTCATGACGAATGTCAAATTAATGGACTAGGCATTTATTTTACTAAAATAACTTTCTGAAATGGTATCTTCCTTTTGGAATTCAGAGTAGAACACACACACACACACACACACACACACACATACACACATGCATACACACACATGCACACACAGCTGTGCTTCTAAAAATAAAACTGTATGAGTCTTTCTTTGACTAGCCCCTCTAGGAATAAAGTACCCAGGGTATGAACTCCAATGTACATGACAGTCTGCTTATGTAAGCAGCAGTCAGGATTGAAAGCCATTTACATTTTCCACAGCTGCTTTGAGTCTGGCATAAGCAGTACTAAAAATTACTTAACCAGTTCAGTAGTAATCTACAACTAGGCAACACCAAGGGAATAGACCTATTGTTCTAATTAAGCTGATGTTGGCCTGTTTAAGTAATCCCTCTTCCTCATATAATCACACTCCAGACCTACATTTAGTGTGCCTAACTCTCACTACCCTTGCAGGAAGCAGGTTGCCTAAGCAGAACTACATTAACTCTTTCATCTTAAAGGAGATTAAAAAGAAGTTTCCCCTCAATCAATTTTTTCCCAAGATATTAATTACAAGAAAGTCTTTTAACAAAATTACCAAAACTAAACTGATTCATCATGAGGAAAAATTGGATGACCCCAATTCCAGCAAAACAGAACAAAGTGGATAGTCCCTAGAGAATATTTTGACAACATACATGGTAAAAGTAAATCTCTATTTGTGGTCTTATATATTTTTTTTTTCCTGAGATGGAGTCTTGCTCTGTCATCAGGCTGTAGTGCAGTGGCGTGATCTTGGCTCACTGTAACCTCCGCCTCCTGGGTTCAAGAGATTGTCCTGCCTCAGCTTCCTGAGTAGCTGGGACTAAAGGCATGCACCACCATACCCAGCTAGTTTTTTGTATTTTAATAGAGACAGGGTTTCACCATGTTGGCCAGGATGGTCTCAATCTCCTGACTTTGTGATCCACCTGCCATGGTCTCCTAAAGTGCTGGGATTACAGGCGCGAGCCACCACACCCATCCTGAAATTCTTTCAGTGTCAGTCCAGATGTCTCCAAACTTCAAACCAGAATAATTATGTTCCTTTTTCCACAATCATCAGTTACAAGTGTTTAAACTTTGTGTGGGTCCCATACCTAAATATATTAACAAAAGCTTCACCCCGGTGATACAGGAGACTGTGTTTGATTAATACGTCTTCCCCCCAGATGCAAACTCTTTTGCTCAATTGGATATTATTTTTTGAGCCATCTGGAATTAATCTATTTGATAGCAAAGGCAAAGGGATACTGATATAATAGGTTGTTTCCAAAGTACTGTGATTTTAATGATCAAAAATTAAAAGGTATTGAATATTTTCCATATTCCTTAATGCAAATCTTGTCTATTCTCACAAAAGGTAGACTGTTTTGAAGTGGGCAACATTCATAATCCCTAAAGATCTATTTAAACCTATATGACAAACTAATGAGACTCAGGATGATGGCTTTTGACAATTAAGACATTTGGACCTGATGGCATACACTGTGGAACATGGAGCTTGTTCTTTCCTTGTAAGTTCCAAATATATGTGACAGAAAAACATTACTACAAAGATGGGTGACCATCTTTTTTCCTCAGGATTGTCACAAAGCTGGTTAACTGTGTGTGGCTACTGATTGTGGGGCAAAGAACACAATTAGCTTCTAATCTGAGGTTTGGAGGGATCTGGCTCAAGACCTAAACCATTTCAGAAAAAGACCTTGAATAGAGATTGGGTACATTTAGGGAACAGGATGACAAAGCATAGAGAATGAAAGGAGTGGTCAGTCTGACCATTAATTCCTCAAAGGCTTATTGATATCCCAACTCACATCAGGGCTTAGTTCATGACTCCCACGTCCTTACCTACAACCGCTATCCATCACCTTTTCCCTATTAGCAATGTCCTATGGGTGATGCACAAGCATTTCGAACTTGGCAATATATGATCCTCAAGTTCAGGGACTGACTGTTTCAGCATGTGGGGTTTTAGTAACGCTCTCCTCAACAACTGAGAAAATAGGAAACTCAAATTTTCCTCTGCTAGTTAAAAAAATCTTGATACTAACAAAATAAAGATTAGATAAATGGCCCCTTCAATCACTATCTGGGGGAAAGGCTATCTTGGATTTCACTATGTTCTGGGTGGTACTATTAACCACTGGAATAATAGAATCAAACTTCCTCTTTCTGGTTTACAGTCACCATTCCTCTTATCCTTAGCATTTGTGTTTTTTCCCCCTTAGAAGTGGAATATTGATAGCAATTTTCATTGGTATGTAAATTCCTGCCATGCCAAACAAATGAACCTCTCCAGAACACAATCTGTTGCCTTTCGTGTGGTAGATATTTAGTAATTTTTTAAAATGAAGAACAGATGAATAATAGAGAATCTGAAGGATTTTTTAAAGGTGCCTAGGGCAGTTTAAGCTCTTTAAAGGATGGTGAAAAATGTGACATATTCTTTCCCCAAAAGTGTAAGGGATTTTACACAACTGTCACTTGGTCTGAAGAAAAAGGTCAGATGAATCACAGATACATTTCAACACCCTCAGGGTATTGTGATAGACTACTTTCCATCTTTCTCAAATGAAGGTGCTCCATGATATAACTAGCACACCCTGGTATGTATCTCTCTCCTTGGTTTTGGTGGATGGATGAAGAGATAGAAGGTTTAGATTATGGTGATTTAATGGGATGTTTTAATTTAAAAGACCTGTTACTGTTTTTTTAAAATGGCAAGGGCTTAAAATAAGGTATAAGCCCTAGTTAATAAAGGAAACTTCCTACTTTTCTCAACGTTACAAAGACAAAAGGAAAAAAAAGTTAAAATTTGAGCCAAACTTCTGTGACACATTACTAAAATACAACAAGGGATATATAAGTCTTTTTATTAGGAAAAAGGCAAAATGAGCTACATTTTTATTCTGCTAAAAAATGAATGAATATTCTTTCAGATTTCTTGGTATAGTTTTGGCTTATGCTATTTATTTTATTAATTTTATTTTAATTTACAGGGAGTGTCTCATTTGGAGAATACAAAACCAAAAAAGAGAAAGTAAGTCAAATTTACTTTGTAAATTTCATGTTCCCTTAGTTTTGTAATGTTGAATGTAAATTTTTTTTTTTTGTTTTTTTGTTTTTTTGAGATGGAGTTGGCTCTGTCACCCAGGCTGGAGTGCAGTGGTATGATCTCAGCTCACTGCAACCTCCACCTCTCGGGTTCAAGTGATTATCCTGCCTCAGCCTCCTGAGTAGCTTGGATTACAGGCGAGTGCCGCCAAGCCCGGTTAATTTTTGTATTTTTAGGAGAGACGGTGTTTCACCATGTTGGTCAGGCTGGTCGCGAACCTCTGACCTCATGATCCACCCACTTTGACTTCCCAAAGTGCTGAGATTACAGGTGTGAGCTACCGTGCCTGGCTTGAATGTGAATTTTTAGTGAACTTCCTGCCAGAGTACTTTTTTTTTTTCAGCTGTCACGTACAAATCTAGGTGTGGATTACTTTGCTACTATTTCTCTGTTTATGCTGATACATGGGAAAGCTGTGTTGTGACATTCCAGTAGACAGGGATGTGAAAATTATATTTTCAGAAGAAACATGTGTCTAAACCAAGCCTAGATTAAAGTGGGAGCCTACATAAAAACATATTTCTATCAGTGACCTATAAATCTTCTGAAGTATTTTTCTAATCCACATAAAAATGTGTTTGCAAAGAGTTTTGGGTGATTTAGGTCAGGCATGGCTTTACATTCAGCACATCCAGCTGCCAGAGGACATGACATACACATGTTGCATAAGGTAATGGGATTTTAACTGATAAGGAGGAAATGCACATGGGCAGGAAGCTGGTTTATGGGGAAACTTTCAGAGTGGTTGCCGTGGATACAGAAGAATGGCTTCCTTGCACCCTGGATTGGTCTGGGGCCAAATTGTGAATTACATGATATTCTCTCTCGGTGTCCTTTTTCTCAAAAGCCCTTACTCTATTCCCACCCTAGCACTCTGCTTTTTCATATTCTTTCTTTTTTTTAAAATTTTGCTCAAAGCTTTCTCCCAGTTAAAAATATAAAACACATTCATAGTAAGTAGGTAATTAGGTGATTAACAGCTTAGGGACCTGGCAGGCTGGTGTAGTTGTATTTTAGCTACAATTAACTATTTAAACTATGACACTGGCATTTTAAGCATGAGATGGAGTAAAGAAGAGCCTTTCTCAGTCTTATTGCCATGTATGTGAGGCTGTTTATTCTGATCATAAATAAGAAATTCACTAATTCCAAGGCACATACTTACACAAAACTGTAGCTCTTGGCTTGTGATTGATGCATCCACAGAATATAGGCCACCAAAACATAGAAGACAGAAGGAGGTTTGAATTAAAGGGAAAGTGTCTGATGCTGACCAATTTACAATTTTTCCAACGTAAACCAGATCGGTTAAGATTCTCATCAGATTCCAAGCAATTGAAATAAAACTGAAAACTTCCTTGAGTTCCTTATTTATTTATTTATTTATTTTTTGCCTACCACTCTCCTGATGGAAATGATGTCTCATGTTGTTATATACCTACCTCACTTTAAAATATTATAAACAGCTTTATTTGTTTGGATCTGTTGCTATATGCCAAGAGATATCCTAAGCATTTTGCATTAAAAAATTAAAAATAAACAAAAGGTTAAGAAAAAGGAAACCTTATTTATGCATGTTTTTGCTTATAATTTTGAGCTTAAAAGAAAGAGTGGGTAACCTTGGTTTTAATTTAGTGACTATCAAGAATATGTGTATGTGCAGCCAAAGTGAGCACATGACTGTCAAGAATATAAATAGTGGAAAACACTTAAACTGTAACAGTTAGTGGTGAGATATGTGCGTGTTTACCCACACGCATGCTTTAATTAGCATGATCAAGTCAGCATAGTCCCAGTTCCATCCTCTGTTTCTGTTTCAAAACATTTTTTTATGAAAAATTTCAATCATACATAGGGGAAGAGTTAAACTCCTATCACCAAACTTAAACAAGAATCAACCTAGAGTCAACTTTATTTTATTTCTACCCATTCTACTCCCCTAACTTCATCTCCACTGTTTTTCTTAATCAAGCAGATGCCAGACACATAATATCATGCTTAAGTGTATACTGTTAGAAAATAAGAACTATTTTTTGGACAGCATGATCACAATACCACTACTGCACTAGAACAAAATAAGACAAATGACATTATATTGCCAAATATACGGTCAATATTAATATATTTCTGACGGGCTCAAATGCTTTTTCAGTGTTCGTTTATTTAAATCAGTATCCAAAAAGCTCAGCTGGATCCAGTTCCCATCTCTTAATTTATGTCTTTTCATTTATTTGTTGAAGACACTGGAGTCTGTGTCCTGAAGAATTTCCCAGATTTTTGAATTTTACTGATTGAATCCTTGTGTTTTTTTAAGTATGTTCTTCTCTACTCTATGTTTCCTGTAAACTTTTAGTTAAATCTCAAAATGTGGTAAGATTCAAACATATATGAAGTGTGAAAACTTTTAAAAACATACATGTATATTTAAAAGTTGGTCTTCAGTGACTGCATACTTCCTGTTTTGTTACATTGTAAGCTCTATGTTTAGTCTTCTTGTTATTCATCTACTTCACTTTACAATATTATAAATAGCTTTACTTGTTTGGAATGCTTGCTATATGCCAAGAGATGTCCTAAGCATTTTGCATTAGAAAAATTAAAAAGAAACAAAATAAGAAAAAGGAAACCTTATCATGCATGTTTTTGCTTACGATTATGAGCTTAAAAAAAAAGGTAACCTTGGTTTTAATTTAATGGCAATGAAGAATATCAACAGTAGAAAACACTTAAGCTATGACAATTTAATTATGAGATATGTGTATTCACCCATACATATGAATTGAGTAGCATGGTTATATATATATATAAATTTTTTTTTTTTTTTTGAGATGGAGTTTCACTCTTGTTACCCAGGCTGGAGTGCAATGGCGTGATCTCGGCTCGCCGCAACCTCCGCCTCCTGGGTTCAAGCAATTCTCCTGCCTCAGCCTCCTGAGTAGCTGGGATTACAGGCACGTGCCACCATGCCCAGCTAATGTTTTGTATTTTTAGTGGAGATGGGGTTTCACCTTGTTGACCAGGATGGTCTTGATCTCTTGACCTCGTGATCCACCCGCCTCGGCCACCCAAAGTGCTGGGATTACAGGCTTGAGCCACCGCGCCCGGCCGCATGGTCATACTTTTATGACAGTGATATTGCTCAGTGGGTTCGGATGGTGTCAAGTTGATCCATTTGGCATAAAGTTGCCCATCAGCCTTTCAATTAGGCTTTATCAATAATTGCTGAATATTTTCCAGATCTGTTATTATATTAGATGTTTCATGATAGTTATATTCAATTTACCTCATTCTTTCTGTATTTATTAACATAATTATTTGGAAAAGCACTTTCCCCCCAGTAACTATTTGGTTATCCTGAGATACTTTAATGTAAAATGACTTACCTATTTTTTCAGGTTTTATGAATATTAGTTTCTCCATATTGCATAGAAATTTACAGACCCAAATTATACTTGTATTTACTGTAATTTGCCAGCTAGGGTTAGGAAAATTCAAGACTGTAGGTAAACCTTACTTAGAGGTAGAATTTATTTCTGCTCCCAAAGGTGTTGCATACATTTTAATTTCTGTTTGATTAATATGTTATTTATTAAATCTAGACTTAAATATTTGTTTTCTTTTTTTTCTTCCAGGTTATTCCGGAGATTTATGTCTGAAAATAAAATATTTGGTTAGTGATTTCTAAGATTTCAAGTGTAAATTATGTATTCTGTCTCCCCAGAAGTTCTTTCTCCTGCTCCTGCCTAAAAGCAACAGAACCGATTGATGAAAGTCAAATTGAGTTGTTTTTGCATTATATAGAATAATTTTTTTTTAAATGGCTGATTCTAACTTTAAATGCCTATGACAAAAATCATTGATTTGTTTGCAATAATTTCCTTTTGTATTTAAAGAGAATAATCTTTGGTTGTTCATTGGTTGATCACCTTCCAGCTCTCCATGTTTAGCTTGGCTGCTCCATGGTCAAGGTGACTTGTTAGAGATTATTTTTTCTGGGGAGGGGGAGAAACAGAGTTTTGCTTTTGTTGCCTAGGCTGGAGTGCAGTGATGCAATATCGGCTCACCCCAACCTCTGCCTCCCGGGTCAAGTGATTCTCCTGCCTCAGCCTCTGGAGTAGCTGGGATTATAGGCATACGACACCATGCCTGGCTGATGTTGTATTTTTAGTAGTGATGGTGTTTCTCCATGTTGGTCAGGCTGGTCTCAAACTCCCAACCTCAGGTGATCCAATGGCCTCAGCCTCCCAAAGTCCTAGGATTACATTCATAAGCCACCGCACCCAGCCCTAGAGGTCTTTTTAGATATGTGAATCTAGGAGTCAATAAAAAATTAGTAGAAAGTGATTCTATTATAAAAGTCTCTTCTACAGTATTTCACACACCAAATCTCCTCTTTAGTTCTGTGATAGCAAAGGTAGTAATAATACATGCAATCAGTTTGATTTGTATTTTAATTCTAAAGAAAATCTATTTCTGTTCATTTCTTTTAGAAAATTAATTATCTCTTTTTACTTTACAGCATATAGGAGTCAGTAATTATAAAACATTTACAATGGTGAAACATCTAGATCATGCAGTCAAGTTGTTTTTTTAAATGCAGTGTGCTAAACTTGTGGGTACCCTTTTCCCTTTCCTTTTTTCCAGCAGAGATTAGGAGTGGGGTGCTCATACCCATTTTCTTCTTTTTTAAAAAACAATTTTTCTGGTAGGATCTGAAAGATACCTTCTGACCAAGGTGATACCCCTGAATGGGTACGATTTTGAAGGATATCTGCATTTCAATCAGGTTTCAATTCGCCCAGTCGTAGCATCAATAGGTGCTGGGTCCTGTCAGGGTCCTGCAGTCACTTCTTGATAATTATTTTGAATATTACCCCCAATTTGAATAGTGCATAGTTTAAATAAAAGGAAGTAAGGCAAAATTTTATTTTCCATCTAGATCCATTCTTAGTCTCTTCTGCGTGTACATACAACAAATATTTCTATCCTAACACAATTCTTGATAATCAACTGCCTTTTCTATAATCAAAACAAATGAGCAAATAGTGACTTTAAAATCAATACAGCATGCTGAGTTTGTCTTCATGCTACACATTGGTTGCATTACTTAACATTTCTTTTATCAATGTGTGATACAACATGTAGAAAGATTTATTGTAGTTGGTAATTTAAAAGGGATTCCAATTCTTCATTTGGTGCAATTAATTTCTTCACGTGTCCAGGTCCTACTTCAGATATTGGGAGGACAAAGTTGAGCAAATCATTTACCTTCTATTTAAGGATCTTAAGAGTTTCTTCACAGCTCAATTTCTCTCCACACAATTAGTTTGTTAGAAATGGTCTGGGCGTGGTGGCTTATACCTGTAATCCCGACACTTTGGGAGGCCCAGGTGTGTGGATCACCTGAGGTCAGGAGTTTGAGATTATCCTGGCCAACATGATGAAACCGTGTCTCTCCTAAAAATACAAAAAATTAGCTGGGTGTGGTAGTGGGTGCCTGTAATCCTAGCTGCTATGGAGGCTGAGTCAGAAGAACTGCTTGAACCCAGGAGACAGAGGTTTCAATAAACTGAGAGCATGACTCCATCTCAAAAAGAAAAAAAGATATAATGGGGAATATGGAGGGCAAGGATACTTTAACTTATGCATAAAAATAATTGATTATGACCCTGTCTTTACCAAAAAAATGGACCTATCATGGTGGCATATGCTTGTAGTTTCACCTACTTGGGAGACTGAGGCAGGAGGATACCCACCACCCAAGAATTTGAGGCCACAATGAGCTATGATCACACCACTGTACTCCAGCTTGGGCAACAGAGTAGGACCCTGTCTCAAAAAAGTGATGATAATTGGTTGTGAATTCAAGAAAACGACTTCAAAGAATAATACAATCATAAACTATCAAGAGACACTAGAGTAACCGCATTCTACCATATATGGTGAGGTGCCTATGTAGTTCATGGGAGTAAGTGGGCAGCCCACAGGGTACCTGCATTTGTCCATGAAGGACTAGAACTCCCTAGAATGGGCCACAGAGCTCTCTTAAGATATATCACTTACCAATTTCCAAACCCCCATGCTGAACTTGTTTTGATTTCAAATGTCTTATACTTACTGGACAAATGTTACTATGAATTCTGCTAACCAATTCTTTGCTTCACTTTAGAAGGAAAAACTGTGAATGACAAAACCTGGCAGGAACTCAGCAAGCATAAGAATGATTCCCACATCAGAAGGCCCTGTCAGCTAAAAGGTAACTGCTAAATTTAGTTCAGCTGACTTTGCATTTTCCCAAAGTAGTTTAAAGGGCAGGTAAGAAAAATTTACATCTTCCGCCATGAAAATAAGCAGAACATTGTGTTCTACTTAAAAAGGAAAACCAAAGAAGACAGAATATAATATGTATTATTATAAACTATTAATACATACATGTACATATATGTTGATATGTCACATAGACACATGTATAAAAAGGAAGTGGGATCTTCTTAAGTTGCCTGCTGAAGCAAAGAACCAATTGAAAAGAAAATTGAAAGTTTTAATTTACAAAAGAATTTTAAAATATATTAAAAATTAGAACATGCAGAAACTCTCTATAAAGATAACATCAACATGTTAATAGTTACGGTTAGGTTTTCTTTAAAAATTTTAAGAGAAATAACCTTGATTATGAATGTAAAATTAGGTCATGTTACAATTTAAAAATTTCTAGGAGAGCAAATTAGCAGTCAGATATAGAATAACATATTAATAATAAGTGATTTCATAATTAAAATTACTTTGGGAAGGCAAGTAATGAAACAAAGTCTTAAGGGTTTAGAAAGATGAAAACAGTGTCAGAAGTCGATCTGCTTGGTATTCACCCCCACAGGTTACTGGAACAAGAAAAATTTGATTACATTAGCTATTGATGATTTAAGAGTCTAGAAATTTCACCTGGGAATGAAGAATGGAATGGGAAACTTAGGAGTCTGCCTGGTGCCCTATTCTACTGTGGCTGGGTTGGTATCGAAGCTGCAAGACAAAGTCCTTTTTAACTCTGCTGTGTCCTCTCCTTATGCAGAAGGAAGGAGTCTCTCCTGGGGCTGCAAGCTGTGCTACCTGGGGTTGGAAAAGGGGTGATCCAAACATTCCTTTGGCCACCCCTCCTGATGACTTACTAGATCATGTTCACCTCAATTCCACTGGCTTTGAGCCCAGCACAGCACCAGGACTTGCCCAGGAATTTCAGTCCCTGTGGCCTGGACTGCCTTTCAAGTTTACTTAGGACCCCAAAGTGCCTCAGTCTACTGTTGTGGGGCTAGACAGAACTTGGGAGCTAGTCTATATGCTCCCCTGTGGTTGACGGCTGAATTCTGCCCTGTGTTGCTTTCCATTGTGAGAGACAGCACTGAGGTCAATGTGAAGTCCCACAATAGCTTTGATTTTCCTTCCCCAAGCACCAAGATTCTCTCTCAGCACCATGAGGCTGCTACCAGAGGTAGAGGAGGAGGGTGGAGTCAGCAATCCAAAACTCTTTCCTACTTTTGTCAGTGCCTCTTTCATGGATATGATGTTAGACCAGGTACTGTGATCACTCACCTGATTTTTGGATATTATGGAGGTGCTTTCTTGTGTGAATAGTTGTTCAAGTTGGTCATGTGAGAGGGATGATTCCTGAAGGTTCTATTCAGCCACCTTGCTTCATTCGCCTCCCTCTCTATCATATTTGGATTGGACTCTGTCTTCACCACGTGGATACCAGCTATATGCATCCACATCTTCAGTCAGTTAATCAAACATTTCTTTATCAGTTTCTCTATTCATCCATCAATCATTTATCTATTAATTCCTCTATATGCACATGTTGTATTTTAGATTATTGTATGTTGATCTATGGCTAAAGAAGGTGTAACTATGTTTAGACTATTTTAGATATAAATTTTTTCATAAATTTCTTTAAGTATTCTATTGCCTAAAATTACCTTTCTCTTAAGTATTTTTTGTTTTGTTGTGTTGTGTTAAATTAGGAATAATGGGCAGAGAATTCTGTTATAGCTAAATTGACAAAGCAGCCAAGAATCTTGGCCTTAGGTGAGTTGCTTCTGAGGGCTTTGTCAGAGGAGGAAGAAAGAAAGCCCTTACAGAATTTGTCCCAGCTTTGCTATTTCTCAGGTTCTTGAATGACCATGTGTGTTCAGTGAGTATGTGTGCATGTGTGTGTGTCCAAGAGGTTCAGCCGACATTTCAGCAGTAGCAGTTGAGTCCCAGGACATTTCCTAGCGATTAATGCCATGCTAGGAAGAATTGATGGCCTGAGACCAAGGCTGTCTGTAACATTATAAATTGAAGGGAGAAATTCAAGGCCACAAGTTGTAGGCTCAAATTTTATGGGTATAGTAGTTTCATTTGGAAAGCTCAGAGTATTTCTAAGTAATTAGTGACCTATGTATTAACCTAAAATATTTCTTTCTCATTTTAAACACTCCTTCTTAGCTGTTAATTGCATAATTACTTAGTAGTAGTTTACTGTGCCTGGGGATAGGCAGTCTGCAGAGTTCAGTGAGATAAAGATGTGAAAGTGCATCTTTGCTATCATCCACAGCACATGATTTTATTAGACACTAATGATGAAATTGTAACGATAGCTTCAATAAAATAGAAAATATGTAGGGAAATAAACTGTAGGAGTGACATTAACTCCTAAGCAGTCTTATAAAATTCAAGGCCAAGAAAAGGCAATTTTCCTCAATTTCAAAATGATATTTCTACACGACACATTATATTAATAGCATTTCAGCCCAAAAGAGTATTGGGACCTGATGAAAAAATTCCATAGGCTATATTTAGTTAGGATTTGTGTCTGGTGTATTAATCCATAGATCAACAACATGACTGTACTATATAGATTAAGACCAAATTTATCAGAATAAGTTGAGTTCCAGATGCATAATATTTTTAGTTTATCTAGTCCATTTCCTTCTTCTAAGGAGATTTTAATCTAAGCCTACATCTGTTCTATTAAAAGAGACTACATCTGTGAAATAATATAGAATAAATTGAGTGCTTAGGACTTTACTATTAAAAAATTGGCATAGTGTAGGTGTCAAGAGAAATTTATCTGTAATTCAGGTTAATTGTTAATTTTTCAGCATTATAAATGGGAAGAATGTTTATAATATTTATTTTAGCAAGTTAACGTCAATTTTTAAAATGTTTAAATTTATTTTGGCTGTGTTTAGAAAAAAGAATTAAGAAGAGCAAACTTTGAATCTGTGAATTGGAGTTTACCCAAGATTAACTTATGATTTAATTAAATATAATTTCAAGAACAGAGTTTTCGTATTTAGACCAAAAAGTACAAAGAATAAAAATGAATCAGCATTTTAAAAATAATAAAAAGGAAACAAAACATTTGGAGATTCAGAAATTTTACAATCAATTAGCATAAGTGTGACAGACTATTCCACAAGAAAAATCTGGGGAAAAATAGCATATGTTAGTAAGGGAAGTGAGGGAACAGAGAAAGTCAGAAAACAGTGTTAGCAGTAAGAGAAACATTAACTTCACCTATACTGCTGCAATGTTAATTTAAAAATAAATCTTCTTGGCTGAGTGCGATGGCACTTTAGCTGGGGAATTGGACCTTAAGCTCCCTGTAGAATTCCCATTGCCTTCTTGATCTCATTAACTTCACTTAGTTATATGTTTGTTTCCTGTAGATATTTATATTTACAACATTGATCTAAAGGTTTATGCCTCAGTTCTTCCACCTGGTACTCAGGGTCTGTTAAAAGTTGGTCTCAGCACCTATCCAGCCCTCTTACTCTATATCCAGGACTGCTCTCTGGCCTCACCAGCCTCAACCTCTACACTTAATTAAACATGCTCCACTTCTGCTGCATGACAGGCCAATGTTCATGGCATCACTGCTATATTTATATCTTTTCCTGTTCTTCCACCTTTTTAAACTATCTCCATTCTTTAAGCTTCCATTCTGGCCCTGTTTCTTCTACAAGTTCTCTGAGTCATGGCAATCTCTCCCCACAGTATAGTATATGAATCACTCGTTTTTCTGCTTTGCGGTGTTATGTAAGTGCATCGCACATATTCGTATCTTGTTTCCTCAGCTTGATTCCAAATTCTAGAACACAGGAGGCCACTTTACTGTTCTTTTTCTATACCCAGAAGAACGCTGATAGAAGGAGTTATCCAAAATTCCTGTAAAAAGGTGATTAAAAGAGACAGGATGGAAAGGAATAAAAGAAGGGAGGCAATAGCTGTTTTCCTCAAGACAGAAAATAAAAACCAAGCTGCTGAAGCTCAGCTTCTAGCGGCCTGACCCTGTGACTTAAATTCTTGATTCAAAGAACCCGATTACAAAATCAGCTCATTTTAAAACTTAGGTACTTTCTGGAATCCTGTTGTATGGCTACTCTCATTTTAAATATTAAGTTATTGGTGCAAATAACTTTGAGATTGTGCTGTGATTTTAACGTATCTTTGAACTATAGCTATGATGGAGATCTGGTGAAAAATCTGCACCTATTTTTTTTACTGTGCGTGGAAGATAGGACTTGCCTGTCCCTGCTTCCCTTCAGAATATGAGAATGAGGAATAGTGGAAAACTGAAGCAATGGTTGCAAATAAACAGGAGTGAAAGTGAAAGGAAAACTCACTGGCCTAGTGACCAGGTGATGTTGTGGGTCACACTCCCCTCATCTGTAAAATAAGAGGCTTAGATTAAGCGACCCATAAAGTCTTGTCCCCATTTAAAATGCCATATATTTCAGACTTAAATAAATGAAGCTCCCTTTTACAGGAGCTAAAAGGGAAGTGCTGCTAGTTTTGAAAAGGTTTCATTTAGCTGCAAGCAAATGGATGCTACATTGCAAAGCTTTTACTAAAGCATGCATAGAACAATTTGGACATAAATAATTCATGTTGAGAAGACCTAAGCTAATGAAGCTCAAAATGCCAGGGGTGGAAAGCTTAGTTTAATAGAAACAGGTGAGGTGCTAACTGCATAGAATCGCAGCATTTTGGAGTTAGAAGTGGCTTTTGTTGCTAGTCCACAATCCTATTATTACCAAGAAAGAAAGGGAGTCACAGTGAATTTCTGTTGCTTCCTCAGAAACACAGTTGATCAGGGGCATCCCTATTTTGTTAAATTTCTATTTTATTTTGATCTGTTTCTTGTAAAAATAGCATATATTTAAGAAACAAATTTTTGACCTAGCCAATGTAATGCCTTACAGACTAAATAAAAACATGAGTATTAAATTGTACCTAAACTTCCTAAATCCTATAATTTCTGATAATCTGTATATAACAGTTATCTCTTTTCTTAGATATAAATGAAGATGATTTTATAAGTAACAGCATGCATACTCTTCAAGGAAAAACACTACAAGGAACTTCCTGTCAGGTAATGTGAATAATCAGCATTTGCATGTTTTGAGAAAATCATCTTGTTACTCAGCTCCGTAATATATTAGAAATAGTATACAATATTTAGACAGTCTTGTAGCTATTTTGTATTTAGTTATTATAGGTTGTTTTATAATTGATATGCGTATGTCCCTGTGAATTGAAATACAGATTAAAAAAATCAAATGATGTAAGATAATGAACTATTTTGATTTTGCAAAACATCATGCTGTACAGCCTTTTGATAAGTAACTCTGGGAATATTAAATTAATATACTGCAATGTTCTCTGTCAAGACCTATGTTCAGCACTTCTATAAAAACATATACTGAAGGTCCTGACCAATCCCTCTAAAAATTGCATTAATTAGCCCAGGAGTTTGGGCAATTAAAAACGTCTGAATGTTTGGCCTCCCTAATAATAATAACATAATATCAATCAATAGCCAAATACTTGCCTTCACCCTATAACAAGAAAGGGTATATATGAGTCAACAAGGCCAATTCAGGCATCAGACTTACTTTTGATATTTTTTCTGATGGCCATGAAGTTCTCTTTAATCATTCTGATAGTTTTATTAGAAAATTTAGAACTGACCTTCCTTGGTGCAGTAGGTAGAAGGTACGTAGCATATGAATTGTAAAGTGCTGATTTGGTGAGGAAAAGGAGCTCACATTCCTAAATCCAGCCTGATTCCTGAGGTTGTTGGAGGCTCTCCAATGAATTAGATGGTAGATCATGATTTTGATCCACTGCAGTTTCTACTGGCTGCTCTGATGCTACCAGAATGATAGACTATGCTACAAGACATGCTAACACATTGCCTGAGCACCGTCTCCCAGTGAGTTCCCCCTCAGTGCATGGATGAGAGCTCTGAAATCAGAGTTCAATCTGAATCTTCCTTTGACTGTTAGTAGCTATCTGGCATTGTGCAATTTACTTAGACTCTCTCTGCTTCTATTATCATCTGGAAAATATGTGTATAAAAAATCTTGGTACTTTCATGAGGATTCAGTGAAGCATGCCATTAAAACAGTGCAGTTCTATGTCTGCTAGTTAAAGCATACTTTTAAAAATTCATTGGTTGTTATTGCTCCTCTTTTCTCTTCTTCCCCTCACCCTCTTTCTCCCCTTACTCTTTGCAAGGACTTAATGACACTTGTACGAGCACAGCTGGAAGATTATCTCTGAAACACACAGTCTCATTTTCCTAAATTCAGATGAGACCTCAGATATAATATCTAAGTGAATCATTGTCTGATAGCCAGGAGAAAAATAACAGCTGGTTTACTGGAAGAGCTCCCTAGACACGACTTATGCCAAGAGAAATCCTTCTGTAGGTTTTTAGTAGAAAAATTAGACCCGTCTCTTGGAAAGAAGAAAGTAACGTAGGAAGTTCTTAGAAGAAAATGGTTGAAGATAAATCTTTACCCTAACTTCAATGCTCCTAGTGGTTAAATTTGGCTAAGAAATGGTGCTTCCAGAATGGTAAGCATTCAATTGTGCCATGTAGTCTATCACTAAAGATTGAAGGAATTCATACGTAGTGACAGACAAGCAGGAGCCATCTAATCTAGATCCTCATTTGGGAGTAGGCACTGGTCTTATCTAAATTTTATAATATATTCATAGTAGACATTCAATTGAATTTAACTAAGACACACTTATCTTTATGACAGAATAGTTTAACAAGGAGTATTATGCAAAATATTAATTTTTTAACTTCTTGTGACTAAGGAGAAGTGGATGCAATTTATGTGTTGAAAGATGGGGAAGGGAGGGAGCTATTGTCAGATGGAGAAGCTGCTGTGAGTGGGACACTGGCTTGTCAGTGGGTGTAAGACGGACTATGTCATGAAACTTGGCCTTCCGTCAATTAACAAATGACTATCAGATAAGTGTTTCTCCAATTGTACCCTGGGAACTGTCTATATCAGACTCAACTGGAGTATCACTTAAAAAGGCAGACTTTGGTGCCATCCTCCTGTTCAACTGGATCATCATGATTGGAGTCTAGGAAATGGTATTTTTATGTGACAATGTTCAGTATATAAGCCATGAAACTCTTGAATTCAAGAGAGTTGGTTGTCCATTTTGTGTTACAATAAAGAAATATCTGAGACTGGGTAGTTTATAAAGAAAAGGTTTATTTGAGTCACAGTTATGATGGCTGAAAAGTTCAAGATTGGGCATCTGCATTTGGTGAGGGCCTTGGGCTGCTTCCACTCATGGTTGAAGGTAAAGGGTGGGGGGCAGAGATTCCATGGCAAAAGAGGAAGCAAGGCAGTGGGAGGTGTGTGTCAAGCCCTTTGAAACCGCTGGCCCACGTAGGAACTAATAGAGTGAAAACTCACCGCTTAGGGAGAACATTAATCTGTAGAGGGATCCAGCCCCATAAACAAAAAACCTGCCATGAGGCCTCTGTATTAGTCCACTCTCGCAACTGCTATGAAAAAATCCCTGAGACTGGGTAATTTATAAAGAAAAGAGTTTTAATTGACTCACAGTTATGCATGGCTGGGGAGGCCTCAGGAGACTTAAAACCATGGCAGAAGGCAAAGGAGAAGCAGGCACCTTCTTTACAGGGTGGCAGTATGAAGTGAGCGTGAGCAGGAGAAATGCCAGAAGCTTATAAAACCATCAGATCTCATGAGACTCACTCACTATCATGAGAGCAGCATGGGGGAAGCTGCCCCCATGATCCAGTTGCCTCCAACTGATGCTGCCCATGACATGTGGGAATTATGGAGATTACAATTGAAGATGAGATTTTGTGTGAGGACACAACCAAACCATATCACCCCACATCCAATACTGAGGGTCAAATTTCAACATGAAGGTTGGAGACAACAAATGTCCAAATTATGGCCATGAATACTTGTTCACAGATGTGATATCTTGTGATTTTCACTTTATAAACTCAAACTTGGCTTAGGTATGATCTTGAAAGACAACAGCCTTCCGGAAAAAGTGAAGTTGATTTTTGTTCCCTATTGTGGAGATGATACACATTCATTGTAGAATTTCTTAAAACTGTGTAAAAATAGAAAAAGTTAAAATAATGAATAGTATCTTAGTGTAAATATATTTCTATGGTTATTTCCTGAATATTAGTAACATGGGATAAAGTTTGTAGATTGTAAAACATTTTATAATTATATGACTATGCCTACAAAATATATTTCAAACACTACAAATGATCAGAATTAAATGTCTAATTCCCAGTCAGAAAGTACTTAACAAACATGTTTCCTTTATGTTCTCAAAATGGAAGAGAAGATCTCAGGTATGGAAGAAGTTACAAAGAATCAGGTGGCAGGGACAAGAGAAGTTGATGGAACGCTTTCTCCTGAACCCACTTTGCCCCATGTATATTTCTGCATACTTGGCCCAGGATAAACTTGCTGGAGAACCAGACTTATGGAAGAAGTGCTGATGGGTAGAGTTTGAAGCAAAGCAGTCTGCTTAGTACTGTGATCATTACATCAGCCATAAAGAACATCTTGGGAAAACCTGACTCCCAGCATTTATTTTTGCATTCTTGTTCTTGTTTGTTCTTCTCTGGCAGCATTCAGTTGATGGCTGAAACCTTTTGTAGCATATTAAAACGGGTATAAAATATGCAGTAATACAGACTTTGGGCTAATATATTTTCAAAAGTGTTGCATGCCTCATTTCTCACGTAAATTCTTAGGTTGCATTCAGCCTTCAGAGTATCATTCATATTCATGATAGAAAAGAGAGATAACATTTATTACCTTCAGTGCTGGTGATATTAAGCACTGTCAAGCACCTCTACCCAGGACGGAACTAAAACATTTGTTTTCTGAGCTCCTTAAGTGAGAAAAAATGTTGCTAATTAAATTAATTAATAAAAAATACATATGTATCTATGTATAGACATATACATAACATCCCCTCAACCTTGAGGTTCCCTTCTATGGCAGCTATTAAAGTATTAAGGGTTAAATCATTCCACACCCATCAATTTCTTTCTTGATGTCCTTCTCTATGGAGACTGCAAGGTTCATCATTTGAATTCTCAGCCTCCTGGTAGTTAGGGGTGGCCATGGAATCCAGCTGTGGCCAATGAAATATAGTTAGAAATTCCTGAGGAGGACTTTCTTTTCTGGAAAAAAAAAAAAAAAAAACAGAGTCTCATGAAGATAAAACTTTGTCTTTTTCTCTCTTTTCTGCCTGGAGCTGGATGTGATACCTGGTAACTCAGCAGCTATCTTCCAGCTATGAGGCAAAGGCACACATGAAGGACGGTGGAGCAGGCACATCCATAGAGCCTAATTCACTGAGGACATCTTTGAGAAGCTGTACCCAGGTTGGAAAGCCTATGTCTGCAGAGGCTTATGACTCTTCTATTTTACAGAGTCATAAGCTCCATACTTGTTCAAGCCACTACTGTTGGTTTTTCTGTTCCTCAAAGCAGAATACATTCCTGATAACTTATTTTTAATATAGTCACTTTTGTGAATGCTAAACTCTGTTTTACATAAGCAATCAGACAACTATGTCCACAGAGTTAAACAGTGACTAGACCAGGCATCCCCAAACTACGGCACGCGGTCTGCATGCGGCCCCCTGAGGCCATTTATCCAGTCACCCGCCGCACTTCAGGAAGGGGCACCTCTTTCATTGGTGGTCAGGGAGAGGAGCACAGTATGTGTCGGCCCTCCAACAGTCTGAGGGACAGTGAACTGGCCCCCTGTGTAAAAGGTTTGGGGATGCCTGGTCTAGACTCACCTCTTACTGTACAAACTAGACTAGCCTCCTTAGGTTCACATGTAGTGTAACCAGCATTTAGAGTTAGTCGTTTAGTCCTTAGGATGAAAATTGGATTACTAACAAATAATATTGGCTACACACATCCCATTGGCTATATACAAACTTAAAGCTATATCTAACATGGCACACCATTTTGGGGATGTGTGTGTAGACTGGACAAAATGACACCAGTCTTTCATGAGCTTAACTGAGGTCACAACACTGGGTTGCTGGAGAAATAATCTAAGCTTATGCTGCGGTATATTAACAAGCAGGAGACATAGGTCTTTCATTAGGTTTTATCAGACCGATTTGAGGCAGTTCTAAACAAAAGTGTGAACAAAAACTAAGAGGTGGAAACAAAAACAAGAGTCCAAAGTGACAGATGGCTCAATAGTGCCTGCCAGTGTCAACCAAATGATAATCTTTATGATGTGATAATATTATGATGAAATAGTGATATTATGTATTGATCAATGTTTCTTATTTTAAGTATTTTCTTATCAATTGTATGACTAACTCTTGTATTAGTCATACATCTCTATTGATGCGTAACAAATTGCCCCCAAATTTAGGGGCCTAAAACAAACAAAAAATATTATTTCACAGTTTCTGTGGATCAGAAGTTGGGGAGTCTCTCTTGTGATTATAATCAAGGTGTTATTTGAAGGCTTGACTGCGGCTGTAGGGTTTGTTTTTAACTCCCTCTCATGGCTGTAGACAGGTGACTTCAGTGTTTTTCTGGGAGTTGACTACAGAGATATGTTCTTTGCCATGTTGGTCTATCCATGAGGCTGTGTTTCTTCACAGAATGGCATTTGGTTTCCCCAGAGTGAGTATCTAAGACACTGAACAAGAAGAGGCCACAATTCCTTTTAAGACCTCATTTCAGAGGTTAAACATCATTACTTCTATTTTATTCTGTTTCTTAGAAGCAACTCACTACATCCGTCTCACACTAAGGGTGGGGAGCAGTATTATGATCCACCTTCTGAAGACCTCTTCAGTGTAAAAGAATTTGTGAGTGTATTTTAAAACCATTAGAACTACCTAATACTATTTTGAGGTTATAGACAAAGAAGTTTTCTACTTTCAAATACCAAGATTATAACTTATTTTGCAGGTAGAAATAATATAGGTCTGTATTTAGTTATCTTGAGAAACAATCTAATCTCCTTTCTTTAACAGTAAAAGACTTTAAAGAGTGGCTTCAGTTGTTGCTAAAGAAACATAGGATGTTAACATGGAATCCAAATCTTTTATTTCTGATGAAATAAAATTAAGATCATATTGGATTTTCTCATTTCCTTATCCAAAGTTATACTGTATCTATGATAAGTGTACTTTCACTTTTAGAGAAAGGAAGAGAGTTTAAGCAACTCTACATTTTAACTTTTATTTAAAGAAGAGGAAATGCCTGATTCTAACAAATGATTTGTAAGAATGAACTCTACATATGTATAGGTATTTTCCTTTTTGATCACCTAAAAGGTTAGAGGACTTACCTGGTATTCCTTAGCATCATTCCCACTCATTTTTAAAAAGGAATTATGCAACTCAGAAAATGGCTAGTAAATGCATTCTTATACACTGTGTCAAGCCCTGGGTACTAGGTCGCATCCTTAAAATGTAACAAACCTGAACATGTGGGCCTAGTCTTTTAAGAACCCACAGGTTACACACAGTGGCAAAAATAAAACCCAGTCACTTAGCACTTGTATCAGTCACTTCAGCTACTCTGTCAGTTTTCTGCTTCAAACCTCTTGTTCTTTGGCTATATTTTGTGTGCTAGAACTCCAGAATTCTGCTGAGGTTTGGACTTTATGGAAACCAAACTTGCTTTAACTTTATATGAGTAAAAACTCTGACTTTAAACTGGTTGCTTAAATTCTCTGTGCTTCAATTTCCTTATGTGTAAAATAGTGATAAAACTTCTTGCAATTGTCATAAATATTAAGTAAAGGAGCATATGTATACTACTCCCAGAAGATGTTTAGTGAATATTCATATTTTCCTCTCTCTAAATTTCTCTTAAACTCATTGCAGAATCCCCTCAGGATGAAATTTGAAATCACCTTTGTCTTAGTTCTTTCAGGCAGCTATAGCAAAATACCTTAAACTAGGTACTTTGTAAACAACAGAAATGTATTGCTCACAGCTCCAGAGGCTGAGACGTCCAAGAAAAGGCACCAACAGATTCAGTGTCTGCTTCAAAAAGAGGGCAAGGCAGCTCCCTTCAACCTCTTTTATAAGGGCTCTAATTCCTTGCCCTCATGACATAGTTACTTCCCCAAAAGTCCCACCTCTTAATACTATCTGATATCATTTGGATAAGTGTTCCTGCCCAAATCTTCTGTTGAGTTGTGATTTCCAATGTTGGAGGTGGGTGGGACCTGGTAGAAGGTGGTTAGATCATGGGATTATGAAGGTGCTCAGATCATGAGTGAGTTCTCATGAGATCTGGTTGTTCGAAAGTGTGTAGCACCTACCCCTCCACTCATTTGCTCCTGCTCCTGACGTGTAGGAATACCTGCTCCCCCTTTGCTTTCCACCATGACTGGAGACTTCCTGAGGCCTCCCCCAAAGCAGAATTCACTATGCTTCTTGTACGGCCTGTAGAACTGTGTGCAAATTCAACTTTTCTTTGTAAATTACCCAGTCTTAGGTATTTCCTTACAGTAATGTGAAAATGGATTTATACACTATCACATTATGTATTACATTCCAACATATGAATTTGGGGGCAACACAAATATTCAGACCACACCACTGTTTTATTACCTGTTATAGACTCCATCAAATGCCCTTTGCTGAAGTCTTGGAGTGCCCTTGGTAGAAATTGTTTGATACCAGGTATGTAAAGTTTTAAAAAGGTGTAGAAGCTGGCAGTAAGAAGCTTGCAGGGACAGATACCAAATGTAATAAATGATATCCCACACTATGACTTGATATTTTACCCAACCCCAAATGTATATTTGATTTACATTTAAACTCAATCAGAGTTTCTAAAATGGATGCTCATTGTGTACCTAATAATGTAGAGCGCTAAGGGATTACAGTGGGCTGCTTCATAAAACATTCCGGATCCTCTCTTTCCACCAGCCCTTCTAGATGTGAGATGATGGATTGGGAGTGCACTATGTGAAGGCCGAGGAGTAAATCTAATACATACAGACACACATATCACACAGACACATATATGGATATATAATGTGTATATACTCTACATATGCATACATATTCCATATTTGTCTTTATATGTATGTATATACAGATGAAGTCACTAATGAAACTAATCAGTGTGCTTCAATAAAAAGAAAGTTATTTCTAATTAAGACAATGAATCCTTTCCCAATTAGTTTGATAGCTTTGTGGAGTTTTTTTGGTTTTGTTTTTTAAAGAATGTTAACATGAGTTGTCTCTTTTTCCTTTTCTAATTTCTAAGGTTACCTCTGAATGTTGGAGTCCATTTCACTATCAACGACATGTTGAGCCTACTCTTGATGAAATGGTGAGACATTTCTCCCCAGATATAACTATTTAAGTGGATTTTCCATCTCTTTTCCAATCATTTTAATGCCGCAAGCACTGTTTTGTATAGTTCTTTATTATGTTTGTTTTTAGCTGCCACATGGAAGTGTTTCTAAAGAATATAAAAAGAGGTTTGTCCTTATTGCGTAATGGTTTTCTGATCTAAAAGGAGCATAAAGCATTTTCTTCAAAGAAGGATAGGTTATATAAAAAATTTTCTCTAAAATGTAGCATTTTTTCCTGAGATAGGAAAAAATGTATAATGTTAAAAAGCCTATCTTCTAATTTGGGGAGAAATTGGTGCTATTTCACATTTCTGGGAGAAGTGTACATCACTGTAGCATTGCTAAAAAAGAGAACTTGGAAACAGCATGAGTGTGTGACAACAGGAATCAATTAATTAATTGGATTATGGTCCATAGAATGAAATATAATAAAACCTTTTTTTAAAAAGTATCTCTCTGTGCCAGCTCCCCCTTATGATATTAAAATCACATCAACTGCCTTCCTCTCCTTGTTGAGATATTGCTAAATAGAGGTTCATAGAAAGGACATGTTTTAGAAGGTCTGGCAAATTTCCAAGGTATTCATATACGTTGACAGGTATTATAGCATTACAGATCTGAATCAACTATAATTATTATTTGTAGTTGTTATTCTAGATGGTTTGGTAACACTATAACCTAATGTTTGTAGTTGTTATTCTAGATGGTTTGGTAACACTATAAGCTAATGTATGCAACTTATTTGACTATTGCTTCCCAAAATGTAATGGTAATTTTGTGACAAATAACTACTTTTGGTAAATCACATTTCTTTATGTAGGTATGAATACAAAAGTTTTAATATCTTTATAGCTCTCTCTTCCCCATTATTATTAACATGCTATTAACATCTAAGTTTTTATAACAGTTTCTTTTCAACTATAGTTTTTTTCTTTCTTTCTTTCTTTTTTTGGTCTAAGAGATGTCTAAATTGTTCTAGGTAGGAGGAAGAGGTGACCAGTAGGTACAATTTAAATATTACTTCTGTTTCCTAAAACAAATTATTGAGCTTTGCCCTTGCTATTTCTCACGCTGTCTGAATTTGTAATGACGAGTTAAATATCAAAGAGTTGTAGGAAACAAACAAATGAATCTCAATAAATACTGAAAGGACTTTCAGGTGAAAATAAAGCTATACATTTAGGAGGACTATGAAATGCCTTAATCAGAAACAGAAGTAAGAGAACTGGATCGTGGGACCTGGATCTACCACCAACTGTGCTCTTAGGCCACTCAATTCACATTTCTGCATCTCAGTTTCCTCATTTATAAAGAAAACTCTTGGAGTAGAGAATATTTCTGCAGACTCTGATAATCTATGAATAACAGTAGCTCATTCCCACTTTTTCATTGATATTTTCTTAAGGTTCAAGAATTTATGTAAAGCAACAAAAGGAGATACTTACCTAGCCAAATGTCCCCAAGGATATTGGAGGAACAATGAATTCCTCTGATCCAATTCTAGATTTTACAGATGAAGGGTTGAAGTGCAGAGAGGTGAAGTGGCTCACTCAAATTCACATGCCTAGTCACAAAGCAGATTTTCAAAGAAGAGCCATCATTCGTCTACACATAAGGGCAGGTTCTTACTCCAGGTTTGGTTGACATTTCTTGTGTCTATTAAATTACATATCCTAAATTTAAAAGTTGTTTTTTTACTGTGTAATTTTCCATCCATAGCTCCTCTTCTTGCTAAAAATCCAATAGACACTTAATACAAGTTGATGAATTTGCATACTGGCTCTTAACATTTCCTATTGTTGACATTTTTTTGGTCAGCTAGGAGGTGTACCGAAAAAGAGAAATGCTCTTATGAGCAGTTTTAGAAACTTCTTCAAAATTTCAGAGCAGAGGATATTACGCAGGAAGTAGGAAAGATGTGACTTCTGTGGCCTTTTCCCTTAAATAAACACAACCCTCGTTTGCAACTCTGGTTTGTGTAATCCTGGCAATTCCCACCGAGTTTGGCGGTGTCTTCACATTCAAAGACCGACCCTAAGCTTTACTTCAAAGAGCAGTCTTGGCTTCCCCTGCAGAAGTGGAGAATTGGCCATGACATTGCCGCTTAATTTTACTATGGAAAATTAGGCCCTTGTGGCTTCTGGAAGACTCCTTTCCTTTTTTACTGTGTTCTCAGAGGGCACATGATTATTCCAAGACCTGAATTATGCACCCCAAAATCTGCTTGAGAGGAGGGAGGAGCTAGAAGATTTTATTAGGACTTGAAAGGATTTTAGTGTTTATATGGTGGGATAAGACTATTACGTAAATGGCTTTGTTAGACATCCTAAATTATACCGCTTAGCTTCTTAAATACCTGCTAATCCTCTAGCCAAGCACGTTTCCCCTCCCTGCTCTTACCTTATTCAATCTTTCTCTCCTGTAATAATCCTTGAATTTTATTTGTAGCTCTTCTATGACACACCAACTTTTTTTTTCCAGATGTATTTTTGGCCAGCTGTTCAGTTTGAAAATATATATGTTGACTATGCTGATTCTAGGAATTGATATGTACAAAACAGTACTAGAACCCAAAGAGGTCACCTTCCAGTGAGGAGGTTAGGAAGAGAAACATATGATTCTTTTTCTTAGTACTCATATTAGGCAATGTGCATCACAAGCAGACACATATTTCATTCTTCTTTCTATCTCCCATAGATTAGGTGCTCAGCAAATATGTGATAAATGAATAAGTCAATGTGTTATAGGCCTTCTAGGAGAATATATTTGATTTCACTAGCTAATTCATTCAATTACTCATTTATTCTATGACTTTTAAAATTCTGCCTAACTTTAAGTGCTTATCTAATCTTAGTTTAAGTTCAGTTTCTATCACTGAAAAATAATAATTTTTAAAATTATAATTATATATAAATATTGTCAACATGGCAGTTTTCCCACCAACTGTAATTATTTCTTCAATCAATATTTTATTTTGCATAAAAATTATCTTTTTAATTAATTATAGTTCCAAGAAAGCAGTATAATAAACCTCTGAAGTGAAATGTATTTGTTTTCACGTGTTTGCATTGATCAATTCTAGTTCATAATCCCATTGGTTTTATTACTGTCCATTGAGTTTCTAAACGTTTATTGATCATTGTGACCTTACAAATTATCTTTTTAGAGTATGTTTTAGGTGATGAATAGAGACTAGTCACTTTTATATAAGAGGGAATAAAAATAAAGATTTAGGGGTTTAACAACTCAACGTTTAAAACCTTTTGGCTTCTTTGTTTTGTTTTTACCATGAAAGTAGCTCTCTCCTTCTAGTCTCTAGGCACCTTCCCTTTCAAGTGACTAAGAGCAAATTGTAGAAAAACTGAATACTTTTGTCCTTAGCAGGGACATACTGAATTTTTGAAATCTGCCTTCTCAATACATTTTGTACTTTATGAAATTTCTCACCACATGTGGTGGCTCACACCTGTAATCACAGCACTTTGGGAGGCTGAAGTGGGAGGTTAAGGCCAGGAGTTCAAGACCAGTCTAGCCAATATAGGAAGACCTCATCTCTACAAAAATAAATAAATAAATAAATAAAAATAATTCCAGGCATGATGATGCATGCCTGTAGTCCCAGCACTTTGGGAGGCTGAGATAGAAGGATAACTTGAGTTCAGGAGTTCAAGGCTACAGTGAGCTCTTATAGTGCAATTGCATACCAGCCTCCAGCCTGGAGGACAGAGCAAGACCAAGACCTGGTGTTTTAAAAAAACAAACAAAAAAATTTTCTCCCAATTATACTAATTACAGAACTAATACATCTTCATTGTAGAAAACTAAGAACTGTAGAGTATATAAAGAAAGAAAAAGACCACTTACAGTGGTGTTTATACTTTTAATACAAATTTACAATCTGATTTTTCATTTAATTTATGTGAGCATTAAAAAATTTCTAAGACCTCTGTGTTGGCACAGTTTTAATAATGAAGCAGAGTCATAAGACCAGGAAATTTAGAGAAAATTGTCAATGCAAAACATAGGAAACTACCTGAAGTTTCAGTTTCCATTACAGCTTTTTTAAAAAATAAACCAAAATATTAATTTTTGAAAATCCCCATTTCTCCTGTTGAAGAAATTATGTGAAATAGACATCAAATTACTAGGATTTGTTATCTGAATACTTGTTAAAGATGGCACTAGAGAGGAAAATTTTCCTAAATCAGAAATTAGGAATAAAAGCAAGAACAAAGGGTTTTTTGTTTTGTTTTGTTTTTTACTTCATTCAAGTCTGACATGTTATTCAGCTTCCTTTTCATTATTGGAGTAAAGAGAACGTAATTCAGACAGATGGGCAATCTGGTTTTAGTTAGTCTGTGTAAGCCTAAATTTTTCTTCTGTAAAAGGAAGTGATAATATCAGGAGAGATTTAAAAGATGTAAATGCCTTTCCAGCAAATACGTGTATGCACATACATACATGCAAACACATATATTTATATATTTCCTTCTTAATTATTCATTTTTAAGAGGATAGGCCTACCATTCTGAAAGTGCCTACCTGATACTTATTCTGTGTCTTGGAAAACCATATTTAACCTCCAAATCAATTCCCTGAATTTGATTGGTCTTAATTTGGCCGTCAGTACTAGATAACTAGTAATTATGCTGGCCTTTAAAGTCACTGTAAGAAAAAACATTGGCTTAAAAGTCAGAATACTTGGGCCGGGTGCGGTGGCTCACGCCTGTAGTCCCAGCACTTTGGGAGGCCGAGGCGGGTGGATCACGAGGTCAAGAGATCAAGACCATCCTGGTCAACATGGTGAAACCCTGTCTCTACTAAAAATATAAGAAATCAGCTGGGCATGGTGGTGCATGCCTGTAATCCCAAATACTCAGGAGGCTGAGGCAGGAGAATTGCCTGAACCCAGGAGGTGGAGGTTGCGGTGAGCCGAGATCGCGCCATTACACTCCAGCCTGGGTAATAAGAGTGAAACTCCGTCTCAAAAAAAAAAAAAAAAAAAAAAAAAAGTCAGAATACTTGATTCCCATCCCAACTCTATTATTAATAGATTATCTTTCCTTGAGTAAGCCACTTATCTTCTCTGGGTTTTCTCATTTTTTATATAGTCTGGTAGACTAGTTGTCTAATAATTTCCATCCCAGCTCATAAAATATGATTGTAGGACTAATCTGGTTCAATAATTCATTGATGCTATCTTCTAAAAATTATTCTCTAATCTTAATATAGAAGTGAAGTGTCAGAAAATGAGATATATTTAACCAAGCACTTCTAACAAAATTTTTATATTATTTAAGGAAGAGTGACCAAAATGAAATAAAAGATATTTACATTTATAGACATAAATATATGAAATATATAGTAGATACATATTAAATATATACGTATGAAAAATTACATTTACACTTATATATAATTACCATTTTATTGGAAATGTACATCTTTCAAAGAAGACTATAAATTAGAAAGACAAAAGTGAAAAGGAAACCAGTTAGAGACTTGACAGTAGTTGCAATGAAAGACAATTAAACTAGATTGGTAACAATGGAGATGGAGAAAAAGAAACATTTAAAGTACATTTTGGTGATAGAATAGACCAAACTCTTCATTACAGAATGTGCACTGGGTGGATGAAGATGGCCTTCACTGAGTTGAAGAAGACTGTATGAGCATCATATTTGGGGCACAGGTCTAGAGGTCAGTACTGATTGTGCTTAAAAATGGTTTTAAATACATAGTTGGATATGTAAGTCTGAAGCTCTGCAGAGAGGCCTAGAGAAAGAAAGAAATTAGGAGTCATTAGCATATAAGTGGTGTTAAAAGTGGTGTGTGTGCATGAATGCACATGAGAAGAGAATGATGGTGATATCAGATGAAAGCTCAGGGTTAATCCTTAAGCAATTTCAAAATTTAATGTTAAGAAAAGGAAGGTGTCAGCATATAGGAGTTACAGAAGGAAGAGTCAAAAAAGTCAAAAGGAAAATCAGAGGAACATGATATCACAGAAGCCAAGAAAAGCAAGTGTTTCCAGAAGGTTGCTGTGGTCAACATTGCTGAATATCATGTAGTAAAGGAGTTTTAGAATGGACCACAAGGACAATTTAAAGGAAATGGCAGAGATGAAAGCTGTTAGGTGAGATACATTGAAAGGATGAGAAGTTAATAGAATTAAATTACAGGAAGTATAAATAGTTAACATTTTGAGACAAATGCCTAGGAAAAAGAATAGAAAAAGTGAATAAAAGATGGTGAAGATAGTATGAATGACACAAAGCACATTTGAATGCTATTGGGAAGAGTCCATTGAAATGGAAAATCAAAATTCAGTAGATAACAGAAGAACAAAACTGTAAACCAAATTGTATTGTCTTCTAATTAGATATTCCATATTCTTCAACCTGCTCTAGAGAAGTTTCCTGGAAGGATCTCTGTTATTCTCTGGGCTCACCTCTTAATACTATTCCTTTCTTTCTCTTCATGGTCACATACTAAGCATATTCCAGGAATTCCAGCTTTAGAACTTTTGAAAATTGTATTGTGTTCCAAGACTTCTCTACTCTCTGCTATTTGCCTGGCTGACATTTTCTCTTACTTCGGTCTCAGGCGAAATATTCTTTCTGACCATCTGCTGAATTCAAAACCATCTATAAATCTTACATATCTGATTCCTTCTCACCGTTCAGGCCTCAGTAATGTATCTTAAGTGAAGCTCCTCCTGATCAGTAAATGAATAAATCCCCCTTCTGCATCCTCACTCAATCACCCTGTTAATTATTAATATAACATTTCTTATGTCACATTCTTATGTCTTAAACTTGTTTATATGTTTATCATCTGTCACCTCCCTCTAGAATTAGACTTGATAAAAACAGTGGTCTCCTATTACTTCCTAAATGCCATATCCCCAGAATATGAGACAGTGCATGGCGTAGAGTAGCTGCTCAATAAAAGTTTATTGATTTACTGAATGCTAGGTTTAATTTATGGGTCAATCTTCTTAGAATACATTTAGAATTTAAAAGGTATGTTACTATAAAACTTAATCACATTCAGTACAAATATGTAGGTAACAGATAAGAGAATTGAGATAAATAGGGTTATTTTTTGGAAAATATTTTAGAGGATTTCTTTTTAATACATAGTTTTAATGATTCTATTTATTTTATAATAATATTAACACTAAATTTCATCCCTTGGATATATGGTATCTATTAACAAGAGGAGATTGTCCAGAAGTACTTTGCTATTAGAAAGTAACATGTCTAGTATTAAAAATGTACTATGGATACTCCATTTGGTATATAAAATATGTGTATATGTATAAAGTTAGGATTGTATTTACATTCAGTACATATTTATTAAGCCATGCACAATCCTAGGCACATAGGATTTTTAAAAATAAATAAAATGCAGTAGACTGATGTCTAGTAACTCAAAGTGAATAAAGATACAAAAATTAACAATATTGTGCTTTAGAAAGGCTATAATAGAGTGTGAAAAAATAATGAAAGGTCAATTTGTTTTAAAACCTCTAGGCCATGAGATCTTACTTATCTGAATTCAGATATCTTCCAAATGCTTTAGTTCCTCTTGGGGGAAATCATTTATAGAAAGTTCAGTTTCCCTGGTATATAATACCTTTCCCATATTAAGTGAAAATCTTTTTCACAAAGGGAGAAGAGAAAGCAATTTTTGTTGCCATGTTTCAGTGGAGCAATTAAGCTTTGGCTGTAGCAAGAAGAAGTTGCCATAAGAAAAGAAGCACAGCAAAGAAAAAAAATGGTTGTGCAATGTCATCTTATGATTTCCGGAAGGGTCTAAAGAGTAGAAACTGGCTCTTCCAAAGTTGTAAAGAGTCTATAAAACCAAGTAACTCAGAAAGCGCTGAAAGAAACACTGAGGAATAATACAAAATATAAACAGCAATAGAAATTCTGTTGAACAGAGCATGGCCTTTGGAAAGAGAGGGAAAATTTTGCATATCTAAGAATATCTCGTCACAGTCCTTTCTGAAAGATTAAAATGATTTCAGTATTTTCTCATTTATTTAATATGAAAAGGTATAGCTTGCTCTGACAAAAATGTCACATTTCCTACATAAGTGCTAGTTTGCAGAGACAGAACATCAAGTTTATACTGGTTGTTCAAAGTCATTCTTAAAGACTAAAAATAACAGCTGAGTATAAAGATTAGAAATGTTGCGTGTCAGTCTTCACTCCCAAACGTTTATTTGGGCTTATAGTCTCTTTCAAAGGATTGGAAAGCATTATTGTGAGTATGTCTCATTCAAACCTTAATGAGGAAGAAGCAAATATTCACCTTTTGAAAATTGCAGTGTCTTTGTAGATGTCATTTGTCAGCTGTTCAATGGAAAGAATGAGACAAAAGCAGGTGGAGAAATATTTCTGAGTCCAGAACTTTCTGGATGAAGAGGTATTCCTATATGTATTACATCACACCTGTGAATTCAACAGAACACAATGATTTTATCAGTTCATATAAAACTTGGCACATAAAATGTTAATTTCCAAAGTATTTTGAAATCCCTAAGAGGAATTGTCCTCATAATAATAAGTAAAGGCTGTAGAAATACTAATTCGTCAACACTGAACTAGTGGAAAACATTCCTGAATCTTTTAAAGTAAACAAGAGTCATTAATGAAATGTTAATTATAATTTATCCATACTTTGTCATAATAAACAAGGGATTCTTATATATTAAAACATAATATGTCATACTGTGGCTATTCTTCGTGGCACTTTGTACATATCCTTTAGAAAGCAAGAGCGTATTTTTTTAAACATTATTTGAAAATTTTTCATACTTGAAACAAATGCTGTTCGCCCACAAATTTCCAAAAAGAAAATGAACACAACTTAAATTCTGCTTTATCTAATATTAGCAGTTAGACTTTGCATACTATCAGTCTGTTCCATTACTAGCAAAAAGCAATGTTGAACCTCTTGTTTCATCTATATTACACTGCAAAGATCTTTCTACTAATTCACAGTGGGCAGGAGTGAGTCATTTATAGATATTTCTGAGTTCAATCCATTTTGCTGTATGTTGAAGTAAAAAAAAAAAATGGTAAAACCACTCTGCTTTAGTATGACTGGTCAGTTGTAACATATTTTACAATTTTGAACCCAAAAAAATGTGGTGTGCTTTCAAGTTACTGCTTAAATTGACTCAGGCTTCAGGTTTTAAGGTCACATTATTAACTTTTCCACATTTATGATCTCAGCATATTTTATATTTAATCTTTTGTGAAGAATAATTTGTCTTTACCTTGAGCTGTGTTTGTGCTAGGCCATAAAATCAGGCGGCGACCCAGTGGAATCAATGGGGACACTAAAGCGACTGCAGAAACTGGTTTGGACCAAGAAAGCCAGAGTGCAGAGTCTGGATGAGGTGAAACCGACATTAATAAACCTCCGTAAGTAAAAGCTCAATAGCTGTTAAAATTCCTTTGAGGGAGAACTAATAAGCATGTATTAATGGAGCCCATTTTGATAGGGTCTTAAGATAATCATTAAACATCGACTCTTTCTTTATTGCCAAGTTATTCTGAAACAGACATCCCCATCTAGTCCTGAATTTTACCCCACATTTATGTCACACCCCGTGTCTTCTTCCCGTGAGACCAGGCTCAGAGACAGTTGAGAGAGGGCAATGGAGGAAGCTCAGCAGTGTCTGCTGTTCCCATTCCTTAGCCATAGGAAACAATATGTTTGCATTTTGATGTAAACCTAGCAAACTAGTATGTCCATGGCATGCAACTTTGATTTGCATTTATTTATTCATAATAGCATGTTTCATTTAATCAAAATCTTTAAAAAATACCCATTAAACATTTGGATTTAAAGGGATTCCATGACATAGAGCAATAGACTCTGGGTGATATATATTTCTATTTTCTGTAACTGTTTTTTATATTACTAGAAATTTCATCAGACTCTTTGCCACATTGTGAACATATAGGTCTCACAAATGAACTTTATAGCATTACTGATAATGCCTTTTTTGTTTTGTCGTTTTTGCTTTTTAAAAATGATTTCACCATGAGACACACTGCATGCATAAATTTCTTGGCAGGTTGATATTGAAATAGACAGTTTCAGAATCTCAGTAGGATTTCATTCCATACCCACTGAAATTTTATTCATTTAAGTAAGGCAAATAATTTTATTTGTTTCCTTATAATTCTTCTTTTATTATTATTATACTTTAAGTTCTGGGGTACGTGTGCAGAATGTGCAGGTTTGTTACACAGGTATACATGTGCCATGGTGGTTGGCTGCATCCATCACCCTGTCCATCTACCTTAGGTATTTCTCCTAATGCTATCCCTCCCCTAACCCCCAACCCCTGACAGGTCCCAGTATGTGATGTTCCCCTCCCTGTGTCCATGTGTTCCTTATAATTCTTTATTATACATATGACCTTAAAAATTAAAAATATTTAAGAATAGAAACATAACATCTTATAAGAGGTGGTTTTTTTAAATTGTATTTTTTTTCCTCAAATATCTTTCAGCATGCTATTTGTATGTGGCTTCTATTCATTCCAGTGAGACTTTAATGAATAGATATGGTTTCAAAAATGTCAGAAAAATCAGATTTTTACAAAAAAAAAATTTTTATAGTGCAGAATAGCTTACTCTTTAAAGAAATGCTGCTGGAATAATTTCGTAAAATTGAATGACATCCTGGTTTATCCAGTGTGGTTCACTTATTTTTCTTACCGAAAGGGAAGTATAATTTCTATATGTAAAGAATTATGATAATGGTTTTTAACCTGTTTATTTGCCATTCAGAAGATGAAGATGACACGTTGATTACTTGTTTGAAATTAACCAAATCCCAAGAAAAGAAAACGAATAATGTTAGCACAAGCAGGAAGGAAGAAATGGAGATTAGGTCGGATACTCTTTCTGCAACACAGGGTACATCCAACACTTTAAATGACTGCAACTTGGAAGATAAATTAGCTTGGTATGAAGGTGAAGCTTACATATGGCATCACTGGAAGCCTTTTCCTGAAAACCCTCTCTGGACATGTGTTGATTTCCAAATAGCCGAGGTTGGACCCTGGGGCCACTGCTCCTCTTGTGTTCACCACACACGTCTCAAGTCTTCCTGCTCAGATATGGATCTCCTACATTCATGGGTGAGTTTGCAAACTGCGGAAATGTGTCATCTTATCTGGGGTTTTGACTGTCAGGAAAGAAACAGATAACAAAAACGCTAATCAGTCAAATGTATCAGTGTCAGAAAAGTTACCAGAGCAGGAGTTGTCTTTCCAAAAAGCAACCAAACGCTTGTGACTTTTGCCTCTGTTAACATTTCGTATATTCAATTGTGTACAAATTAATGACTGCATAAGATATTTCCAGGGATTTCTTTTTGCTTAAAGGATGACTTTGTGTGTTGACTGAAATCAGGAAAATGTGCAGTGAATTGTCTAAATTATTGCAATTATAAGGAAATTTCACTGAAAAATAATAGCTAATTTTAATGAGCATTTTCTTTAGGCCTGCCATTCTCTTAAGCATTTTGTATGTATTCTCTCACTTAAATCTCACAACAACTCTATCAGGTAAGGAATTACATTATGAAACACTACCTTAAGAAATATTATTTTCCCCCATTTTACCACTGAGAAAATGGAGGCACAAAAAGTTAGTAACGGGTGCAAAGTCAGACAGCTAACAAGAGGTAAAACCAAGACCTACAACCCAGGTCTTGCTTTTATCTAGAGATCCTACTTTTATCTCCTACAATGTAGTGTTTTCCATGTCCTAGGGCAGACGCTAAGGCTGTATGTACATGAGAAAGAGTATGCTCTCTGGAGTCAAACAAATTTGGATTCTGGTTTTGCTTTTCTTTTTTTCTTGCTTGGACAAGTTATTTAAACCTTTTAATCTTAATTTTCTTAACTGAAAAATGGAAGTAGTAAAGAAGCTAAAGTCAAATATTATAAATTTTCTAGGACTTAAGAGTGCTAAACTTTTTTTCAACTTCATTGTAAGTTGCTCAAGGCATGTATTACAACTTTATTTCTCTATAGCTCCTGGTCATTTGTGTTTTAAGTGAATAAATGGGACAATTTTGTGTATCCAGGAAGCCTACTCTGTACCATTTTGCTCATAGAATCAGTCTCTCCTTAGGCAGAGGCTACATTTTATAACACATTAGAGGTCCCTGAAGAGACTTATTCTCTCTTGGAACTTTTTTTACCTTTCGAGATTTGTGCATTGAGTCTCCAACAACTAGAACTAAAGCAACTTGTGTTCGAAGTACCATGGTAAATATAACAGGTGTCTGATAACAGACTAGGAAGTGATGAAACTGACCAAGGTTACTCATTTCTAAATGTCTCTCCTGCTTCTTTAGTCTTCGTCTTCTCTTCTGCGACTGCTGCATTTTGCAGGTTTTCTCTTTGAGCAGCTTCTTAGAGAGTAGCTGGTAATGTAATTAGGATGTGCTTCTGATGACACCCTCTGACAGGTTCAGAAGCAGGATCAAGGCTGATGACTCCTTGGCAAGTGGCTAAGCTGTTATATAAGCATCTGAACACAAATAGTCCAAGCTTTCTTCAAGAATAAAATCTGGACTCCCTAACTTGGCGTTTCTGGATTTCATCAGTCTGACTTTAATCTAATTGTTCAGTCTTATCTGTATACTATGCCTTCCTTATTGATTTCCTATGCTGAACTGCCAAAGTGAATGATTTGCTTTTCCTAAAGGCTGTCTCGCACTTTCCTGCCTCTCTTTGTGTTTGTGTGATGGCCTCTTCTTGGTATGTGAATTCTCTCCATTAGAACCCCTCCCTTCGTCCCTTAGACTCAGATCAAATACTTCATCATCTACAAAGCTTTTCTGGGTAACACCAGGCAGAGTAGTCCATCCTTCCTTTGAATGTCTACACTAAACGAGGGCATTATTCTTTCATTACATATTTCTGAAACACATACTGGCACATACTATTCGCTATTCATAAAATCACGCACTGGGGATACAGAACTAAGTGATATCTACGTTGCCTTCATCCTCATGGAACTTACCATACTCCACCTGTGCTGGTGGGTCAGTATTTGTATACTTCCTATGAATCACTTACCTCTGTATCCTCCATAGTTCCTGTAATATAACAGGTCCTCAAGAAATATCTGAACAATTAGCTAGGCCTGGTGGCTCACACCATTAATCCTAGTACTTTGGGAGGCCAAATTGGGAGGATCGTTTGATCCCAGGAGTTTAAGACCAGACCAGCCTAGGCAACAAAGTGAGATGACCCTATCTCAAAAAAAAAAAAAGAGAGAGAGAAAAGGAAGTATTTTCTAACATAAAGTGCAGAACAGAAATAATTAAATAAGTAAATAAATGTCTGAGAAGCACTTGCACTTGTTGTCTAAATAAATAGAGCTTAGAAAGCAGTGGACTTTGTTTCCATAGATTCAGATAAAGTATTTCTTTTTGTTTTTCTAGTTGTTCTTACAGCCAAAGCCTTCCTCGTTCTAATAAATCCAGTTATACATAAATTCATTTATTTTGTATATGTGAGAGTTTATGGATGTGTGTAGATTTGGGTAAATACACAATAGTCATATTTTTCTTTTTAGGTAGTTTTGGTTGTTTTAATATATAACAATGACTGAGTGAGTTTTATCTGCAGAAGGTCAAACATATCTACAGAATGCTCAGAATTTCAGATGATACTGTTCAGCATTCATGGCAGAAAAGCCTCAGTGGATTTGGAGAGATGGTTCAAGAACATGTTAGAGTTAAATTGGTTTGGTAAACTTAATGAGACCACTTACACTCCGGGACTTGAGACACTAAAGTGAAGGAAGTCGTATGAGTGGAAATGATGATTTTTGTATTCTACACATATATTCTATAACAACAACAAGTGAAAAATAACCAGTTTCATTTTAGCATTGCTGGATTTTTTTTCAATAGTAATTGCAGGGCTATTATTTGGGTTATTTAACTTTCATATTATAGAACGTACAGAGGCAGTATTGGGGTTTAAAAGATGTGCTTCTGTAATGAGAGTTACTTACTATTAATGGCAGGTAGTCAGAGGCGACATTTTTTGCAATTTAAAAGGGTAAGAGTGTGATCATATTTTTAAAAATGTATGTGCCAACATATGCAGATATGATGGAGCTGGGCCTAAACCCCACATTTCATGGGAAATGAATCCAATCTACAAGGACACTCATTTCTCCTTGACTTCAGAAATGTTAGAAATAGTAGATTCTGGTGTGTGCATTTTCTTTTTTTTTTTTCTTTTGAGATGGAGTCTCACTCTGTTGCCCAGGCAGGAGTGCAATGGAGTGATGTCGACTCACTGAAACCTCTGCCTCCCGGGTTCAAACGATTCTCCTGCCTTAGCCTCCGTAGTAGCTGGGATTATAGGCACTCACCACCACACCAAGCTAATTTTTGTATTTTTATTAGAGATGGGGTTTCACCATATTGGCCAGGCTGGCCTTGAACTCCAGACCTCGTAACCCGCGTGGTATCTTTGACTCCATTATTATATCAGAGTTTTTAGGTGGTCCGAAATTAATTTGTCTTTGAAAAAGTCCTTGTTTACCCTGGTATGCTTCCTGCTGATCCCACTATACGCTCCCACTCTCAAGGCTAGTGCTGACTGATGGAATGCAGTTCTGACATTGCCAGCAGAGTGAGCTTGAGTAATATCCTTACCTCTTTCAGCCACCAATTCCAATTCTGTACAGTGGTCTCAGTCCTCATTCTCTTTCCTCTAAGTGACTTTGCATACCAAAAACACCCATTAATTAAGCAACGTTATTGATATCTATTAGAAAAGTTTAATGAAATAGTGTTGGGACTCACCTATAGTAAGTAATATGTACTGCAAAAATCAAAACATCCAGCAGTCTGTGTTAGGATTGGAACGTTTTATTCAGTTGAGATACTATAAACAAACTGAATCAGACAAGGAAATGTATTATTTGTCAAGGGCTCTTCACAGAAGTCAACAGGAAAACGAGACACACAGAGATGTTTAGCATGAAGTTAAGTCGTTTGTAATATCTGTGGGATCTGGGAGTGAATAAATGTATGTGATTATGGAATCGATGTAAACTGAAAGGTAAAAGATCAGATTTATGAAAGGGTATACTCCACAAGAGAAATGGACAAGGGAAAACTAAGGGTGAGGATCTTGTGTAACATCTGAGATGAGTGGAGTTGACAGGGGATTTCAGATGCATCTTAAGAAAGGGAATAGTGCAGGTAGCCAAAAATAATCTTTGAAGCCAAGCGTTTTGAATCAATTTATCAGAAGAATAACTGAAGAGTACTTATGAAGCTCTGAAAGCTAAGAGCATGGAACATCTTAACAAAAGGAGGAAAATGAGCCATAGGCTTGGTAGGGAATGAGGGTAAGAAAGGATAGCGTTTCTGAGCTGTGAAGGAGAGAAAATCTTCCTTTTATATATTTTTAAATAACATATATTTTTTAAAACCTGGGAGACTGTTTCAGATTTATAAGGATAAACAAATTTTTCTGAAAAAAAAATTAATTTTTTTTTTTTTTTGAGACGGAGTTTCACTCTTGTTGCCCAGGCTGGAGTACAGTGGCGAGATCTCAGCTCACCACAACCTCCATTTCCCAGGTTCAAGCGATTGTCCTAAATTATTTTTATAATATTTAGAAATTGATGCAATCTAGACATAAGCAAGAAAAAAATCCATCCCTGTCCTCAAGTTTCTAAAATATTTTGAAGCCCATTTTATAAAAATAGTGTGAAAATTTTTAAAAAGTAACTAACCAAAGATCTTTCAAGAAGAGGCTAAGTCAAAGACCCAAAAGAACAGAACAGAGACCTGCCTGTAAAAGAATTCAAACATCGTGTATAGAGAAAATTATAATAGTGAGAGGCAGAATCATATAACAAAAATCAAAGAAAAATGAGTCAAGTTGATATACAGCATCTGAATATGAGAAATAAACAAGGCTGTACTTAGAGACATATAAGGTGAATATGAGAAGGCTTTTTGAAATCTTACATGAATTCATCACAATGGTGACAAACCATGTGGGCCATGGAAAAATTCTTTACACCACCGTTTCAGTTTAAGGAACAAGAGGTCTGCTAATGCTAACCAATAAGAAAAGCAGCAAAAGGT